CACGCCCCTCCCCGACCCCCGCCCGCTTTCGCTTTCGATTCTCCGGGCTCCGGGTGCCTCGGCTCCGCCCCTGCTGTTGCACCCCAAAGCCAGGCGGAAGCGGGTGTCGAGGGGGCCGTGTGCCCTGCGGCGGAGCGCGCGCACCTCGGCGGGAGGCGGCGCTGCCTCTGCAGTCGGTCACATGTCCCCACGCTGCGCGGGGTCCGCGTCTGCACGTCCCCCGTGGGGGCGGGGCCGCCTCACGAGTCCCCGCTCCCCCCGACATTGGTCCCCTACTTCCTCATCCTTCCACGCCCTTCCCGTTCCCCGGGATCCAGCGCTCTCTAGGAGCTGGACCTTTTAAAACTTGCTCGGAGGTTTCCTCCATCGCCTCTTGGAACGTCAGTTTACTGCGCTGTACAATGGGGACGACCTTGTGCCGGGTGTGGTGGCGCACGCCTGTCATCCCCTCATTGGGGAGGCTGAGGCAGGAGGGTCATTGTGAGTTCGAGGCCAACCTGGGCTACATAGTCAGACCCTATCTCAAACAAAAAAATGGGAATGACCTTAATATTTACATCCTGGAGTGAAGTGTGTGCCGGAAGCAGAGAACTTCACGGCATGGAGCATGCCAGGGACCTTCCTGTATCCCTGTGCTACCCGCCCGTGTGTTCCAGGAATCTGCATTATAAATAGGAAGGTTGGGACTTGTACGGGCCAGGGAAGTTTTTTGTTTGGTTTGAGACAGGGCCTCACTATGTAGTTCAGGCTGGCCTTGAACTCACTGGCCCCGACCTCGCTGCAATCCTCTTGCCTCAGCCTCCCAAGTACTGGGATTACAGGTGTGCCACCACTATGGACAGTGGCCAGGACAATTCTAACTTAGCATGGAAATTACTTCTTGGAGAAGGTTTGTACACCATCACTAAAGTCTGGGGGCTTAGCTAGGAGAACAGTAACTGTCATCCTAGCTACTCAGGAGGCTGAGGCAAGAGGATTGCAATTTTGAGTCCAGCTTGGGCAACTCAATGAGATCCTGTCTGAAAAAGAATAAGGGCTGGGGTACAGCTCAGTGGCAGAGCACTTGCATAGCATGTGCAAGGCCCTGGGTTCCATCCAAAGCACTGCCAAAGACGTGGTGTGTATATACACAGTGGAATACTATACTGCCATAAACAGGATGAAATCCTGTCATTTGCAATAAAAGAGATGATGCTGGAGGCCATTAAACTGACAACCAGGCACAGAAAGACAAATATTGTGTGACCTCACTGACATTGGGACTCTAAGAGAAGTTGGTCTTCTGAAGTTGAAGGTAGAATCCCCATTACTGGAAGCCTGGAGGGGTGGGGAGAAGAGGGATGAGGTAGGTCAAAGGGCACAGGTGACAGCAGGGAGCCAGTGTCCTAGTGCCCGGTAGTGGGGCTATGGTTAATAGTGGTGCCTGTGTATTTCAGAATAGAAATACAGTGGGAGCTCTGTGGCCTTTATTTTTACTTTATTTATTCATTGATTTTGCAACAGGGTCACCCTATGTAGCCCAGCCTGGCCTCGAACTCGCAGCGGCCCTCCTGCCTCAGCTTCCCTAGTGCTGGGATGGCAGGCGTGTGCCACTGCACCCAGCTTCCTTTCCTGTATTTCCCACATTGCATATTTCTCTAACAATTGAATTTCTTTCACAATGAACATCCATCTATTTTGTAATTGCCAAAAGATGGATCCCATACATGAATTCAGTTATTTAAAAAAGTAACATATATGTTTTTTGTTTGTTTGTTTTTCTTCCGGTACCGGGAACTGAACTTACGACCTTGCGCTTGCCAGGCAGCTGCTGTGCCGCTGAGCTAAACCCCCAGCCCTAAAAAAGCAACATATATGGATCAGTGGGAATCCAGTTCCATCTTCGACGTGCAGGACCCGGACACTGTCCTTTATAACGCAGGAATCTATTGTTCCATTTCCACAGACTCTGCTTCATTGTTTTTCCAGGAATTCAACCCATGCAGAAGCTGAGAAACTGGCTTGGGGACTGTGCAGATGAATTTGCCGAGCAGAAAACTGAAAAGCTGAAAATATAAACTCCCAGCTGAGTGTGGTGATGCACATCTGTCATCTCAGCACTTTTGGGAGGCTGAGGCAGGAGGATCACCGTGAGTTCAAGTTCAGTCTGGGCCACATAGTGAGTTCAAGGCCGGTTCGTTCTTCTTTGTAAATGAGCCAGTCTATGACGCAGTGTTAGCAGTAGACCAGGGACTGAGCAGCAGTCTCAGAGATTAAGGAAATCATGTGGGTGGGCTGCATTCCTTAGTTTTGAGTTACTGTAATGAAATCCCTGCAGCAATTAACTCATAAAGAGAAAATATCATTTAGGTTCACAGTTCTACATGTTTCAGTCCGGGGTCAGGCAGCTTTGTCCTTTGGGCTTGGAGAAAGCATCGTGGTAGAGCAAACCGTCTCCACCAGGGGCCAGGAAATAAAGAGGAAGAACCAGACATTGGTGCTGCAGGCCCGGTGGACCTCAGGGCTTCCCATAATAAGACCCCCAGCTGCTCCCAACAGCACCACTTTGAGGACACAGCTTTTAACACACGGAGTTGAGCACATTCATCCTGGCCATAGCGGGGCCTGGTGTGCTGGTGCATGCCTGTGATCCTAGCCGCTCGGGAGGCTGAGGCAGGAAGATCATGAGTTTGAGCCTAGCTCGGACAATTTAGTGAGACCCCCATCTCAAATTATTAAAAGATAAAAAGAGTTGAGGATGTATTTGGTGGTAGAATATTTGTTAGTATGTGTGAGGGCCTGGGTTCCATCCCAGTACCAGGTATGGGAAAAAACATTGGATTTCAAGGGTGTGGTGGCTTGTGCTTGTAGTCCCAGCACTTGGGAGGCTGAGGCAGGAGCATTACTGTGAGTTTGAAGGCAGCCTGGGCTACAAAGTGAGTTTAAAGCCAGTTTGAACTGCACAGTGAGACCCTGTCTCAAGACAACAAAACAGCCGGGCATGGTGGCACACACGTGTAATCGCAGCACTCGAGGCTGAGGCAGGAGGATCGTTGCGAGTTCGAGACCAGCCTGGGCTACAAAGGGAGCTTGAGGCCAGCCTGAACTGCATAGCGAGACCCTGTCTCAAAAAGACCAAAACCAAAAAACAAACAAACAAAAAAACAAAACAACTACTTTGGATTTATTAGGTTAAATAAAAAATAAAATGTATTATTAAAACTAACTCCACTGGTCTCTGTTCTTTTAATTAATTAATTGATACGGATGGAACACAGGGCCCTCTATCACTGAGCTACATCTCCAGCCCTTTTTTTATTTTTTATTACGAGACAGGATCTTATTAAGTCACTAAGTTGTCCAGGCCGGGCTCACACTTTTGGTCCTCCTGCCTCAGCCTGTTGAGTAGCTGGGATCACAGATGTGGGCCTCCAGATCTGGACTGAACAAATGTCTTGACTCTTGTGAAAAGATGCAGGCTCAGACCGAGTTAAGCTATCCTTTTCTCTCTGTGGAAATTACAGGCACAGAAATGGACAAGAGTGCTGGCTGCATGCCTGTAACCCCAGCACTGGGGAGGCTGAGGCAGGAAGATTGCCAGGAATTCAAGGCCAGCCTGGGCTACACATTTTGTCTTCTTGAGACAGGGTCTTGCTATGCAGTTCAAGCTGGCCTTGAGCTCACTTGGTAGTCCAGGCTGGTCTCAAACTTGCAAAGATCTTCCTGCCTCAGCTTCCCGAGTGCTGAGATTACAGGAGTGCACCAACTCATCCTGCTGGGCTACATACTGAAACCCTGTCTTATAATTTTTTTGTTTTGTTTTGTTTTTCACAAACACACATTTCTGTTGATCTTTATTCTAGAAATTCAGTCTTCTTTCTGTGTGTGTGTGTGTTTTTGTACCAGGAATTGAACACAGGACCTTTTGTTTGCCAGGCAGGCCCTTGTGCTGCTGGGCTATATCCCTGGCCCTTCTTCCTGTTTTTTTTTTTTTTTTTTCTGATGCTGAGGATGGAGCTCAGGAGCTCCTGCATGCTAGGCAAGTGCCCACCACTGAGCTGCACCCCACCACAAATACCACAAAGAGATATTTTCTCTGTGAAGCTGTCTCTGAGAGGGATGTGAACCAAGCCCGGACAAGGGAAGATGAAAGGCGGCGGGGGGGGGGGACGTGCAAAGTTCCTGAGGTAGAATAGCTTGATTGTTGAAGGACACAACAGAGGCCAGTGTGGTTAGAATCGGGGGAGATAACTATATTTAAACGTGGAAATATTTAAGAAACAAGCAAAAGAAGGGCACAGTTTGGATTAGTAGGATTATTAGTTTTTCCCCCCTAGGAAACATGAGTAATGATTTTTGTGTATTTCTTATGAATGTACTCATAAAAAAAAAAAAAACTTTTAAGAAGTAGCACCTGCCATCCCAGCACTTAGGAAGCTGAGGCAGGAGGATTGCTGCAAGTTCAAGGCCAAGTTCAAGGGCTACACAGTGAGACCCTGTCTCAAAAAACCAGAAATGTGAGTCATAACAAACAGGAGGAGACAGGAATGAGGGACAATTCTAAGCCATGCCCAGCTGGCTGTGCTGGTTGCCTGCTGTCCGGAGCCTGGGACACCGCCTGGGCTCATTGCTGGGGTTCATCCTGGGGCCCAGACCTCCCTGGAGGTCCCTCCCTGGGAGCAGCACAGGCCTCTGGCTCAGGACTGGCAACCATGGGTGCTCATATATTCCGAAAATCTCCCCAGCTGCCCAGGGCTTCCTCGCGGTCTTCACCCTCCTCTGCTGCCCGCGGCGGGACGAACTTCCCCTTGCACAGGACGCAGGTGTACTGAGGGTGGGAGAGGACAGACAGGAGACGCGGCGTCCCTGGGACCTGGGGATCTCCTCGCTTTGCCCCTTCGTGCTGCTTAGCTTTTGTACCACTTCCCCCACGGGCCTTCCTGATCCTTTCCTGCCCTCTGTTGGAAAAGTGAGGTTATTTCCTGGAGTTGTGCAATGCACAACCTACACATCCCTTCAGGGCAGTCCTGACATCCCTGACCTCCTGCTGGTAGGCCCAGCAGAAACTGTGGATAGGGTAGGAAAGGGCATCCAGGCCTGAGTCTCTGGGGCCAGCAGGGGACCCACTCGCTTCAGGTTTGACTCTCCACAGGTCTGATGTCTGGCCCTCTCTGAGGTAGGACTCCTGCTCTTGTAACCCCAGGGCGTTATGGCGG